ATTCCATGAAAGATAAAGAACCCATCCAATTTTTATACTTCCTTTCTTCAAATGTACACATATATATACACACACACAGAAATACTGTTACACAGAGAGCAAGGGAAAAGAAAACCACTGAATCAAGTAGGGCAGCTCTTAAGTCTTGCAAGATCTTCAGCTAAGACAGCGTTGCATTACAAGCTTCTTGAAACCTTCTACGTATTTGTGAATACTATTAACCATACACATAGGACTGATGCCACATCTTGCAGCACCGAGGCCTCCCCCTCCCCCCCCGCAGTTTTTAAGATGCTTTGGAAAACAGGTCTCGTTCATTTTGCACATGGACTTGTGGTTCAACGTAACAGCTTTCAGAAGTGTTGTCGGGGCAGGTTTACAGTGAGGAGCCTAAGGAAGATGCAGCCTTCAGTTGGCACAGTGGGGCACGGACTGCATCCCAGGTTAGTGCCTGTGGGATGGCTTCTCTCTGTTCCCCACCAATATCAGACCTACATCCAGTGCCAGCTGCATGTCTTTTTCTGTATTTTTTGTTGCTTTTTCTATGCTTAAAACTTCAAAATTTACAGAGCCACAGAGTGTCTCAATTTAGTGTTTTCCTTAAAATGCATTGCTTGAGCAATCCAACAATAATTTACAAGCACATTGGGAAAAATAAGCAGACATGCCTAACTTTACCTGTGTGAGTAAGTCAACGTGACTCGCTCACATATGGCCTACTCAGTGTGACCGACCTGTGTGAGTAGGTTTGAGCAGGACAAAAAAAGTTAGGCACCCATGTTTTCAATAGTGGATGTCGGCATTCAAATAGGTGCTGAATATACTGTCAGCATTTAAGGAGTAAGCGGTGCTCCCATTATAAATTCTTTCTTAAAAAAACAAGATTGCAATCTGTTTTTTCAGCAAACTGTGAAGAGGAAGACTAGGCGGTGCACAAACACTGTTGTATCTGGAAGAAAAGTATAATGAGAAATAATCGCCCCAAAGCAGAGACAAGTTTCACGCTTACGTTTTTTATCTATTTCCTCAGTAAACATGCCCACTGGATCTAAAATCTTGGTCCAGGGTATTCTGCAAATGGTAGGATCTTTCATTACTATAGAAATCATTCCATTTCCTTGCGTGTTTTCCTGGCTATTCAAAGCAAAAGTTTACTGCTTTTTTTTTTTTTTTTCCCCCCCTCTAAAGATGTAACTCATGGTTCCTGTGCAGGAACCCTGGTACCTTAGTCCCAATCTTAAACATCTATGAGAACCAAACCCACAAGCTTTGATTCTGTAGCTGACCCAGATTAGAAGAGCACAGAGGCATTAAACTAATATCCTAAGACATATGAGCACATCTTCTACCAACCACCCACTATGACTTGCTGTAGGTAATGCAGGACAGTGAATTATGTAGACGATTCAGAACAAAAAACTTTTTAAAATGTAGTCTCTGCTGCAGTACAAACACTTTATCCCCGGGGGTCCTGTACACACATCCATCTAAGAAAACGGGTATCAGGACTCTGAGATCATATGATTATTTTCTCCATTAAAAGGTGTATTTCAGAAGAAATATATTTTGTTATTTTTATTACTAAGGCAACAAAACATTGTGGGGTTTACATTTCATCAGCAAACTTACATTTGATTACAGAAAGGGACTGAATGAAATAGTTTGCTGGGAACACAGTGAATACAAAGGTTAGGGCTGATCCCAGTCCGTCGGGCAGCAAGCAAAATGTAGGAACCCACCTGTTTGCTTTATTCCTTGTCAAAGGTGAAGTGCTCAGGCTGTCCGAACGCTGCACAACATCTCATCTTAGCACAGAAGAGAAAAATAGGCCAGGCAACCCCACAGAGTTTAGCAAGCTCCAACAGCATGCTTCAGCCACTGAATTAATTTTCTTTTTCATCTGCAGTTGTCTTCCAGAGTGGTTTTAAATACCAGTTCCCTAAGGATGAGGATCAACAGCTCGCATTGTGTTGCCAGCAATGTTCTCAGCAGGGACTAGAGCCCAATGAATAAAATTAATCCAGGGGTGGGTGAATCCAGCTGCTAACTTTTCAGAACGTCACACAATCCCACAATACCGAGCAGAACAAAGCAATCACTTTCATCTGTTTACACAGACTCCTCGTCCCGATCTAGCGTGGATAAGAGAAATGCTAAAAATAGCTCGGGTCTACTTTTACAAAAGGCAAAATGAAGGTTATAGATCAGCTAAACCACTTTGAAATCCATTATACTATTATAATAACATTTTGACAGCACAAGTGGACTTATTCAAACCTACAGAGGTCACCTTTAAAACAAAGATCAACATTTTCCTCTGTGTTTCACGTTTTGGACCTGTCATACACTTCAAAAGAAGTCTGGTGGAAGAGACACGGGGGTTTTCACTTAGAAGTCCGTTTACATTTTAGGTCAAGAACTTAATACTGCCTTATCTTCCTCCAATCATTCTTTCACTTAAGTAAACTGTACTTAAGAGAGAGGCCCAGACCTGCATTTAGCAAAGAAATTAATCATCTCCTCTCCACAGAAACGAGCGATCCCTTGCAGTTATGGTGTTGAAACTAGTTTTGCAACTACTTTACAAAAATAACCAAGCTAACACATGGGGAAATAGAAAAAAAAAAAAACAACCACCACAGCACCAAAGAAAAGAGGAAAAAGAGAAGGAAGAAGGAAAAAAGAAAACCTACCACGCAAGACAAATTTAGTAATTGTTAGTTGATGCTGGTCTGTTAATTCATAAGACCCAGCTATTCACAATGCTTCAAAACCAACTTGAAGAATGTTGGTAGTTCAACTTGGTATTTCAAGATGTACTGAACATCCGAGTCACAGAATCATCACCTTGGCATTACTGTATCTTTCGTATCTGCACAGTGAATCACAAAAGTCTCAGACCATGAACTACTCAGGAAAAATGAAACTCTGTGCCCACTAGCGACTTAACTCAGAAAAGCACTCCCTGCAGCTGAACGGCTCGGCTCGGCTTCGACTTACAGGTGTGCGCAGCCCGTCCGCAGGACGAGGGTCTGAGCGGGTGCCCGCAGACAGGCGTGCAGTAAGGACTGCGTGCTGTGCGACCGAAATGGGGAAACCGGCCATCACCGCCTGGTACTTACTGCCCGAGTGTATTGTTCGAGATGCCACACTGATAATAGAGGCAGATACAACCAGGCTGGAGTTTAGCCCTGGCACGGTAAGACTCCCAAGATGTAAGAAATGTTCCTGACAAGTGTAGTTCACAGACTATGACATACGGGCCCTTCCCCAAGGTGAGGGGTGCAGTTCCGCTCCTCATCGTGATGCGCTGCAGAGAAGCCCCATGTCTGCAGCCGCATGACATTCCTGACCTGCCTGTGTGCCCGCAGGAAGGAAACTCAGGCGATTCCGTAGGAAACGCCAAGCCGAAGCGACGGTCCTGGCCTCGCAACCCTGCCTTGCAGGTGACGAGCGGCGCTGGGGCCACGCGTGGGCCCTGGCCGGGGCGGCTCTGAAGGCTGCTCTCCTCTCGGATGCTTGGAGAGCCACCACCAGTTGCGCCGTTAGCAAAAGGCTGCACGGCGCTAGTTCACAGCGCGAAATGTGCCGCTTCCTTTGCTTTCGCTGCCCGCGACCCCCTGGGGGGACGGGAGGC